CCTAGTTCCAGCACCTGGCTTGCCCCGGAGGTTGGCCCTTCTGGGGAGCTGCACTCCCAAGGGTGGGCCCTTGCCTGTGGGGTGCCCTGCCAGACATGTCAAGTCTCACTCATTGGGCATGACTGTGAGAGTCACTGGTTAGCATGCAATCTCACTCTCACAAGACTCATGCCTAAGCTTAGCTCACTCATTTTGAGTAACTAGATAAAGATCTAAAGTGTTTTTACTCAGGGGCTGAAGGAGACAACAATACAGCTGGAGACTGGGGCATGAGGCTTTCCAAGCTCGGTAATGGTACTATAGTAAGCATAGAGACTACAGGATCGCACTTTATACAAGAGTGTGTGAGAGGAGAGAGAGGGGGCCCTGTGGGAGGGGCGGCTTGTGTGTGAATACTTGACGGTCCAAAAAAATATAAGTTTGCCCTAAAAATGAGCAGGACTTGATTGAAAGTTTGCAGGTTTTGCAAAATACAGTTCAAAATTTAAACCCCACTGGACAAATTCATTGTCTTTCATTGTCCCATGAACAGGCAAGACTTTTTTTTTTTTTTTAATATGAGCAATAATATACAAACCAAATAATATGTGTACTGTAAAGTGTTTTTCAAGTGGGTGATCACAAGGCCAAGGTGATATGCAAAATAAACATTTCTGTGTTGATAAAACCATTTTCTTTTTAGTTAGGTTTATATAAAAGTAAGTTTATTTTTGAATATTTCTCCTGTTCTGTCCACTGACTGTGTGCCTAAACTAGGGGTTATTAATTCTAGGCCTCAGGTTTTTATTCCAACCAGTAAATAGTTTTTATTAAAATTAGGGCTGTCAAGCGATAAAAAAAAATAATTACGATTAATCACGCTGTTAAACAATAAGAAAATACCATTTATTTAAATATTTTCTACATTTTCAAATATATTGATTTCAGTTACAACACAGAATACAAAGTGTACAGTGCTCAATTTATATTTTTATTACAAATATTTGCACTGTAAAAACAAAAGAAATAGTATTTGTCAATTCACCTAATACAAGTACTGTAATGCAATCGCTTGAACATGAAAGTTGAACTTACAAATGTAGAATTATGTACAAAAACTTACATTCAAAAATAAAACAAGATAAAACAAGAACAAGAAGTAGGACTGAGTGGACTTGTAGGATCTAAAGTTTTACATTGTTTTGTTTTTGAGTACAGTTATGTAACAGAAAAAATTCTACATTTGTAAGTTACACTTTCACGATCAAGAAATTGCACTACAGTACTTGTATGAGGTGAATTGAAACATAGTATCTTTTTATAACTTTACAGTGAAAATATTTGTAATAAAAATAATATAAAGTGAGCAATATACACTTTGTATTCTGTGTTGTAACAGAAATCAATATATTTGAAAATGTAGAAAAACATGCAAAATTATTTAATATATTTCAATCGGTATTCTATTGTTCAACAGTGCGATTAATCACAATTAATTTTTTTAATCACAATTAATTTTTTTTAGTCAATTGTGTGAGTTAACTGCGATTAATCGACAGCCCTAATTAAAATCTACTGATTTGCATTGCTTATAGAATTCTCACATGCCCTAGACTTTAGTATGAATTAGGACATTTATGCAATATTAAACAGTGTACATTTAAAAACTATTAAGAGCTGGTTGGATTAAAAAATTGGGCAATTGGATGTCGTCAAAGACCAAAGATGAGAGTCCCTGTCTTAACCAATACCTAACACACTTCCTGGAAAGTGTCACACTTTGGCCTTGAATCTCATTCTTTAGGGATGTAAATTTCACTCTTAAGGACAGCCAACCCTTGGCATCTCTGCCTGACAGAGCCTCCCAGCCAAGATGTGCTCCCCACATTGCACCTCAGTCCCATCCAGTTGGTACCCCACTAACTCTAAGGTCGCTAATGGTTCCTGCCAGTCGGGGCAAGGCACACACAAGGGAAGGGAAGGGGGTGATGGGAATAGGGCAGGTGAGAAGAGGGAACAGTGGCAGATGTGGAGTGACACTGAGGTGGAAGAGACTGTGAGGGGTGGGGAGAGTTGGAGCAAACAGCTAATCAGTACAGGGCAAAGAAATCCAGTTAAAACCGAAGAAAGTTCTGCAAATATCCAGAAATCCCTGTTTTCGCTGCTACTGGTCCTACGCTTCTCTGATTTACACTAGTTTTACGCTGGTGGTAACCTCATTTACTTCAACAGAGATAACTCCTATTTATACTGGTGCGCGCGAGAAGAGAATCAAGTCACTTTTGTACTCAGGATAAAACATCAGAATTTCAGATAACCAGGAGTTACAGATAACTGGTGTTCAGATTATTACTCCTCCACATTAAATTGTGTTTTGCTTTTAAGGGACAGGGTAATTAAGCCTCCCGTCCCTCCAAAAAATTAAAATGTATAATAAATGGATCTCTATCAGACTACCCCAGCCAGTGAGCATGCGTAATCATAAATATTGGTAGGATCAGACCCAGTGTAGTGCTCACCACCTCCAAGAACAGGCTCCAAATAAGAGCACCAAACCACTGACATTACTTCATAGCATTATTCCTATATTTAGCACACCCACAAGAGTTACCTTTAAAAATGTACTAAAGTGGATCCCAGGCAAGACAGATCTCTACATTAATATTTTTCAACTTTTTTTAGATCTGCTATTTGATCTGTAGGTCGCATTGGGCAGTTATCCATGATTAGAACCCACTGGGATTGAAATGATAATAAGAGCAATTGATAGTACACTTCCAAATTGAAACAAATCCATGAATTAAATAAATTAAATTAAAGTGATGAAATTGTGTAAGATTGGAAACAAATACAAATATAACACATTTTAGAATTTTTTAAATATGTATATCTTCCACATTATATAAGAACCAAATTTCCTTCTCAAAGTTTTAAAAACATTGTGACTATTAGATATTGTAGTCATAATAACCATAATAAATTTATAATTCCATAGTCCCATGCAACCAAGGGTCAATACATTTACAAGCAGCGAATGAAGTCTCATAACTATCCTGTGAGGTAGATAAATCTAATTACGCCAGTTTTGCAGAAGGGGGAAAGAGGACTAGTGGGACTGAATTTGAGAAAACTATAACACAGTGAGCATCCACACTAGCCACACTGTTTGCAGTACACCCAGTGCATCATAATCCACAGCATTCTCTGAAAGTGTCACGGGGGTGTGAATTGTTGAACCTAACCTACATAGGTGCTGGAACTAAGGGGGGGCGGGGGGGAAGAGAGCTGCAGCTTAAATGACTGTTTCTTGGAGCAGCTGGTCCTGAAACCCACCAGAGGAGAGGCAATTCTTGATTTAGTCCTAAGTGGAGCATAGGATCTGGTCCAAGAGGTGAATATAGCTGGACCGCTTGGTAATAGTGACCATAATATAATTAAATTTAATATCCCTGTGGCAGGATAAACACCACAGCAGCCCAACACTGTAGCATTTAATTTCAGAAAGGGGAACTACACAAAAATGAGGAGGTTAGACAGAAATTAATGGGTACAGTGCCAAAAGTGAAATCTCTGGAAGCTGCGTGGAAACTTTTTAAAGACACCATAACAGAGGCTCAACTTAAATGTATACCCCAAATTAAAAAACATAGTAAGAGAACCAAAAAAGAGCCACCATAGCTAAACAACAAAATAAAAGAAGCAGTGAGATGCAAAAAGGCATCCTTTAAAAAGTGGAAGTTAAATCCTAGTGAGGAAAATAGAAAGGAGCATAAACACTGGCAAATAAAGTGTAAAAATACAATTAGGAAGGCCAAAAAAGAATTTGAGGAACAGTTAGCCAAAAACTCAAAAAGTAACAGCAATTTTTTTTTTTTAAGTACATCAGAAGCAAGAAGCCTGCTAAACAGCCAGTGGGGCCACTGGACGATCGAGGTGCTAAAGGAGCACTCAAGGACGATAAGGCCATTGCGGAGAAACTAAATGAATTCTTTGCATCCGTCTTCATGGCTGAGGATGCGAGGGAGATTCCCAAACCTGAGCCATTCTTTTTAGGTGACAGATCTGAGGAACTGTCCCAGATTGAGGTATCATTAGAGGAGGTTTTGGAACAAATTGCTAAATTAAACAGCAATAAATCACCAGGACCAGATGGTATTCACTCAAGAGTTCTGAAGGAACTAAAATGTGAAATTGAAGAACTACTAACTGTAGTCTGTAACCTATCATTTGAATCAGCTTCTGTACCAGATGACTGGAGGATAGCTAATGTGATGCCAATTTTCAAAAAGGGCTCCATAGGTGATCCTGGCAATTACAGGCCTGTAAGCCTGACTTCAGTACCGGGCAAACTGGTTGAAACTATAATAAAGAACAATATTGTCAGACATATAGATGAACATAATTTGTTGAGGAAGAATCAACATGGTTTTAGTAAAGGGAAATCATGCCTCACCAATCTACTAGAATTCTTTGAGGGGGTCAACAAGCCTGAGGACCAAGGGGATCCAGTGGATATAGTGTACTTAGATTTTCAGAAAGCCTTTGACAAGGCCCTCA